CCCTTAAGGCCAGCTAGAGCGTTTATTTGTCGGTAAATCAAGAGCAACAATTACCTAACCCTTTCAATACTTAAACTAAGTGCTCTGCGTCACAGAAAACGATCCCTGAATTGTAAAAGAACACATGCCAGTAACTGCAAGGGGTTAAAGAAAGATATTTTATTTCTAAGTGATGACATAAACAAATCGAAAAAAAGGATTTCCAAGAGACTGCCACACTATTATAAGTTAATGACAAATAGGCTATTTGTATGATGGCGTCATTTTACTACTATGACCAGGATCCTTCAGGGTTTTGCTTTCTTGTGCAAATTAGGGCTTTTGTTATTTAAACCTCACTGGGGCTACCAAATTTAAATATGAAAAGAAAAACGAAAAGAATTCTGGTCGTGGTAGTAAAATGTCGCTATCGTGCAAATGGCCTATTAAAATTACTCTTTGAAGTGCACAAGTTTGTTGAGGAAAAAGGAGTCATTACTATTATTGCAAGAAAATCGTGCGTCAATTACGCCATTAACACACGTCAATCAGCCAATCAGTTTTCAAAATTTTGCACTGAGCACAAAGTTTGAATATAACGTATATAAGTGAAGTAACCCTAAAAAGACTGTTGTGGTTCATTATACATCATTATACAGTTTACCTTCGTTTCTCTTCATTTCCTCTGCAGAGAACAAACGATTACAATTAAACAGTGATAAGAATTTCAACACGTACGGTTATGATTATATTTCAGATATTCTTGCCCTTAAAATTGTTACAATTACTTTTAAAATTAGCTAAGCAAAACACACTCAATTTAAGTTGGGCGGCACTCATGTGCAGATTATTCAAATGATCGTCAAAATGTGACCAAAAAGAACTTCACAAAGCACCCATTTTCACTGTACAACCTGACTACCAGCGGTTGTTCATAAATCCCTTGATCAGGCCGGGGGGAAGGCCAAACATCATCAACACGGCAAATAGTAAAAAGAAATTACCTTCGTATCTTCGTATTTTTTCTGAGGAGAGCAAGAAGAAAAATGGAAGTGTAAGTGAGAACAACTTCAGCCACTTTAGTCAATAATATGGCTCTTGCCAAAGATAAACAGGAAATTTGATACAGGGGGAATACAGAGTAAAATCCAAACTAAGATGTTAACCTAGGGGACCTGTCTTAGAAAGGACCGAAAAGACCACAGCAAATAAATGTTTATGTTAAGGGTTTTTTTTTTCTCAAATAAAGAAAGAGATGTCGTAGGGAATAATGTGTGGCAAATTACCGAATCTTGCCAGTTTGCGTGTTGTTCTTATTTATGAGCGTTGACATAAAAAAAAAAATAATGTGATCAAATACAATCTGTTAATTCTTCAATCGCTCATTGATGATAACTGCCAGCAGTTGTAAGTAAATTCCTTTACTACCGTACTTTTGCAACGCAACCAAACAAAAAAAAAAACGGCAAATATTTTATAAACATTACCTTCGTATCTTCTTATTTCCTCTGAAAGAAACACATTATTACACTTAGTTACATGCAACAACTGAACCACGGCAGATACAACTTTAAAACAGTTTTGAAATTGTTTTGGATCACTAACCCCCCTCCCTCCCACCGGCGATGTTGTATGTCGGAAATTGGACATGGCATGGAAATGGAAATGGCATGGCATGGAAATTGGACATGGCATCCTAGACAAGCAGTTATGCAATTCCTGTTTTCTCTATCTCTTACTTGCCTCCGATCTTGATAGACAAATGTTTCTTATGCATCACAGGACACCCAACAACGGCAACGCCATATTTGGAAAAAAGGGTCACGTGACACCAAAGATAACATGACAGCAAAGAAAATGTCGTCTTCCACGATAGCTACAAGTTTTATTTACCAAAACACTTAAAAACAGGTGTTTTAGAAGCATTTCTACTGTCAGCCCCGTTTTCATGTAGGCCATTTTAGGTCCTGCGCATTATGCGTGTCCAGTGTTGAATTTGGCTTGGCTCCATATATGTTAGTCTTGGGGTTGGTTGTAATCTGGCAAAGTTTCATGCTTTTATCATGAAAGTGAACATGCAATTCGCTATATTTTTGGTCGATAACAGCTGGGCTAAATCTTTTTCGGCTATTAGGAAACTGAAGAACGGAGTATGCTTGATGGCGGATTCGTAGGCCACTCATTTTATCGCCAAAATGCATGTAGCCAAAGACAACTTCATCAATTACCTATTTATGATAACTGACTTCCAGCATTGGTACATAAATCCCTTGAAATATCATATACAGCATAGCCAACCATTAAAGCAGCTTGAACATAAAATAAACTTTACCTTCATTTCTTCTCATTTCCTCTGAAAAGAATAAATGATTAAAGTTTAGTTAAGAGATTTCTGTGCATCTAAACGGCAAAACTACTGAGCAAATTGGAAAAAAATCAGAGAGGTTGGACATGTATGATAGCAACTAAAATTCTCCTTGTCCTACTTTCCAGAAAAATCGTTACATGAACTGACTGGGGCATCTGACCTTCTTGAATTACTGACTTTAGAATGGTCATTGAACAATTTGCTATTGAGTATAAACTAAACATCTATCCACAAACACTAGAGTGGCCCAACTGATAATCTCGCAGGCCGATCACCATTTATTGTAACTATCGAATAACTTATCACGCTAGCAAGTAGCTCAGTACCAATACATTACCCATAAACAATTTAAAAAACCTCTTATAATAAATTTACAGTACCTTCCAATCTTGCCCTTTTCTCTGCGAACAAAAAAAATTACATTTGGTTAGGAAACTTTTTGTGGCCCTAAAAACGCAACACTGACTGTATGAATAAACTGTAAACACCTACGACATAACATAATATATAACAATTATGGTACATAACATACATAACAATTATTCCTCGTGCCCGAATGGGCATGGGCTATTGACTCGGAGGCCATGAGGGCGAGAGGAAAAATTGTTTAAGTAAAATCCAACTAGTTGGTCAAAAATATCGAGACAAAACAACTTTACCTAGCTATTGTTTTGGTTTTCAAAGCCGGCGTTTTTCGCTACTAGTGGGCAATAACATATAGCCTAGTAGCAGCTCAACCAATCAGGAGGCAGCATTGATAATAGATCACTAGTTGGATTTTACTAATTTACTATACCACATTTCTTTGTAAAATTTCCTTTGTAAACTGCTGTACGTAATTTTTCTAAATGTCCGCTGCTATCGCGCGTGCGTGAAGTTTTATTTTGGCCGAGCAGTATGTTCAATACATAAATATTGAAAGTCTTTATTGATTCTGTAGTCAACATGGCCTAACATAAAACGTCAAGTATTAAGAGAGAAAACACTACCTTCGATTCTTCTCATAACTTCTGCAAAAATAATAATGATAAAAATGATTATTATACATTCAAATTGATTGTCTCAAATCCCCCGGTAAATTCTTATAACCAGCTGGAAGACGTTTGTGATATCCTGTGAAATGAAGTCAATAGTACAGGATAATGCCAGAAAAAGGGTCAGTATCCGAGAAGCCCTAAGGACGAGTTTGTGATAGCTCAGCTGTTTTGTTAGAGCTGGAGAAAATGGCGAAAAACGCAGTCTTGCGAAGAAGAAATAGCCCAACTACTGCCTATAAACATGGCAGGAACAGCTAAAATACAACTCGACGAATGACAACTGATATTTGAAAAGCTGCTCACTACACATCGCTTTTTAAATTCCTCACGGTTGTCGAGGAACAGGTAAATGAAGTAAAAAACTTAACATTGATCGAGGTAAGTATGTTACTTTGTAAAGTATGAACTATTTTGAATAAACAATGCTCGTTTAATGACTTGACTGGCTCGGCAATGAACAAAAAACCAAACGGAAATCTATAAACAAAGAGTAAACTCAAACTAAGGGGGACCTATAGATGAATACTCCTATGTGTATAAGCCGCAGTTAAAGCGAGTTAATAGAATGGTTTCTCCCCCAGAATAAACTACATGTCGTAAGGAATAATCTCTGTCAGCTTGTCGAAGCTTGATTCCAGTGGCCTGCCTAATGGGCCTAATGCGTGCTTTGAGTAGTTTTACACCTTTTACAATCAACTCATGAATTGGATTTGTAGACCATTTACGTAATCATTAAAAAGATGTGACTTCATTAACCACATATTTTGGATAATTACCATATGCTGTACATAAATATCTTAAACTCACCTATACAGCATTGCCTAACAATACGACATATAAACAAACATATAAACATTACCTTCGTATCTTCTCATTTCCTGTAGAAAAAAAAGTACATTTCGACATCAGTGCCGGATCAGACTTTGAGATAAGGGGGGCGCCGGTCATCCAGACCCTTGGGGGGGGGGGGGGGGGGGGGGGGGCGCCCCAAAAAAACCAAAAAAATGTTTTCGGCCCTTCGGGTCTCAGTTTGGTCTAAAAATAAGGGGGGACGGGCTCCTCCCCTGGATCCGCTACTAGACATGAGATTAGTATCCGAATAAACAGGAAAAATTATTGTTTTTGACCCAGCGGATTATTTTCAGAAGAGGGTGAGTGAGGACACGTCCCTCCCTGTTACAGACTTGCACAAATTAAACGTCCTGAAGGCCTCAGTAGAGGCCCAAGGCCAATTCATTAGGTAACAAATTTATTCCATCGTCAACGTCTTTAGAGATAAAACGATCAAGGGGGCAGATTATGTGTCCACTAGAGGAGAATCCTATCATCCTATCATCAGGTGGAATGGCGTTAGGCAACTTACCTCCCACTGCTGCAAAACGTTTGTTGAAAAAAAAAAAATTACACCAAGTTCATTGGTTACCACATTCGATTTAGTAGTACAGTTTTAGGCAAACCTAAAAGTGGAGCTTCCTTTCGAAAACTTGAAGTTGTACCTCGCCATTAGTCGTTGGTCGTTCGGCGTCACGTGAGAGAGGGCGCGAACCTGAGAGACCAATTTGTGTGTGATCCTCTGGAGGTCAAGTTTGTTAAAGGCGAGCTCTGCAGAACAAGCCATGTATGAATGCTTTAACGAAGAAGAACTTCTCAGAGACGAAATAGAATCGACAAACACAGCAGAAAACAGAGCGACTAAGAACTCGGGCGACTCGCTCGTCGCTATGATCGCCTCCATGAATCAAACCATGGCGGCGATGGCGGGAAGTATTTTCTCTATGGGAAATGCACTAAAGAGGCTACATGCTGACACAGCATCGCCTCCTAATGATAAACGACCAAAAACCACAACTGCTTGTCACGATGAACCCTGTGATGAGGCGTCTTTAGATGAATCGGCCGACTTGGCAGATTCTAGTGAATTACTTCAGGTTACTCGTGCTCGACACGAGATGCATTTTGGTTATCGTGGGAGTCATATTTATTTTATGCTTTCCCCCCTTTCAGTCTCGTAGCGTTAGTTCTTCAGAAAATTCAGGAGGCGGAGGCCACAGGACTTCCTCTAGTACCCAAAGGGCTAACTCAACCCAGCTGGCTAACACTAATAAGAATGGCAATTCAAAAACCCCTGGAACTGCCTTGGAAAAAGGAGCTGATATATCAGCCAAGCCAACTAGACTTAGTTCATCCACTACACCCAAAGCTAGCACTGCTGCTATGTCATGTATCCGGGAGCAACTGGAAAGTCAGGGATTATCAGAGCAGGCCAGAAATAAACTTTTAAGATCTTGTAATCCTTAACGTCTTGTAATGTACTTGTAAGACGTAATACATTTAATACAGTCATTGTCAGCTGGCTGTTGCTCTAAGGCGTGGCTCCTAGTCACACAGGTTTTAAAGTCTCACATGACTCCGAACGACCAATGATCAATGGCGAAGTAGAATTCAACGATTAAACGAGACTTACCTGTAAGGTGAAGTTTGATTGGAATTCTACGAGTCATTAGTCGGAAGTTTAGGAGTTACGTGTCCACCCTATTATACATCATTTCGTTCTACTGTACTGCCCACCCATAATTCATCTTGTGTGTCTAATGGCAAATTTGAAGATTGATCTCCCAGGTTCGCGCGCTCTATCACGTAAGCCCCTACACTCCCGACCAATGACTCTTAGAATTCCAATCAAACTTCCCCTTTTCGGTAAGTATCGTTTAATTGTTGAATTAAAATACCAATGAAGGTATGAAAAAAAATACTTTGGCATCTTCCAATTTGTTAGTCTTGCTTATGAATTGAAATATACTTTTCATAACTTTCTACGAAGACTGCGATGTCTCTCACAGGGATTTTTCCTTCGAGTAGGAGTCCTTGTAGTCTGCCAGTATACGAAGCAATTTAAGTAACGAAATAACAGTTTCAATTTAAAGAACAGATCAAATCTGGGAAGGCCAAGGCTAGGGGAGGATACAGCAAAATCAAGTTGTCAGAGACCTCAAGTACATGAAAAAGGCTTAAAGTAGTAAACAAAAGAGGAAAAAAAAGTATCTGATTAAAGGCTAGAAATAGCATTTTATGTGTCCATGACGTGTCAAGTGCTGACTGTAGACATCGAGTATTTTCAAGGTACTTTAAACGGCATTGCTCATTACAATACTGGACAACTGGCCACATCTAAAACAGTGCTTAGACTTTATCAAAGAACTTTTCCAATCGGTGCTATACCCTCTGCTTACGATTTTTTTCTTACACAACTAACTCTCTCTGATTTTCTCCCTAAATGTACCAAACAAATGGTTCTATGCCACAAGTATTGCGTTGCGTAATAAATCATGAGACTCCTTACCTGACTGGGGTATTCATTCTAGTCACGGCCAATCTGAAGAGGGTGTGGACAAAATTGTTGGATAATGATGACGTATCATCACGAAATTCCGGAACGCAATAAGGGGGAAATTTTTACGTTACAATGTGATGCAATCATTTATTTGAAGTTGTGCTCTTTTTCTCGCGACAGACAGCAGCATGTTAAAAGCATGGTAATCGAAGCAGTGACGGAACAGAAAAGAACTTGTGATAGATCAGAGTTAAATGGACCATAAAAGTTATAATGTGTTATTTGTTGTTTTTCTTTTCTGTTCATTGTCTTAAAGAAAAACAAATAGACCGCTATGTAGCCTGCGGCTCGATTGCCACATTTTTGTTTCTTTAACATTTTGTTGTCATTTGTGATGTATTAGTGAACAAACGCTCGGCAACATGGAATCTATTTGTCAAATACAATATGGAAATAAGGTAATGATGGTGCAATGTTTTGTTCTGTCTCTAGCGCTCGATTTTCCACGAAACGTCGCCGGAAATGGACGTTAAAAGTTATCACCAGGATATAACTGTTTTGGTAGGCTCATTGTAGACAACAAATAGACAACCACTTTCCGTAGTCTCTACTCTTATTAACCATAGTTATTATTCATTCAAAATATTTCCCCAATTCTGATTGGCTAAAAGCACACGCATAATTCACCATAACCAGTTACTGATGACCAAATTTGGAATAATTTTGTGTTTAACAAGGAAATGACATAAAAAATGCAGTGTTCGTGCAGGTAAAGGGGGGAATTT